ACATGGTGTGTTCTGGATTGGGCAGGATTTTTTTTGCTAGTATTTTGGTTTAAATTGGTTTGGTTTTCTGGCCAGTTAATGCTTATGTGTTGAAATGTTAAATAGGAACAGGTTCATCACAATTTGCCAGGTTTTATGTGGAGTAAGTCACATTCAGAAGGAACTGAATGAGTGCTGAGAAATGTTAGGGACCTTTTAAGATTGTCCAGTCAAAATTGTGAGACTTCTGAGTTTCAGAGGGGAAAATTTAATGTGTTTGACTTTGGGATATAATCATTTTTAAAAATTCTTTTGCCTCTGGCTGTCTTCAGAAGGAGCCTCTGTATGCAGATGAATAGTCTGTATTTCTGCCATCTATTTTGCATCCTATTTTAATTCCTATTTTGCACCAGAGGCAGTATGTTTATGAGATCTAAGAGGTTTGTGGATTCATTTGTGCTTGCTTGCTTTCATTTTAAAGCAGATTGTGGCAGCTACACAATATGGCATAAGCTAAGCAGGATAATCATTCTTTCTCATATATTGTGTTTCTGGTTTTAGGTAAAATATTAATATTAATTGTTACCCATGTGTATCTTTGGATCAGTCATTGTGTATCTATGTATATCAGTGGTTCTCAACCTTTTTATACGGCGACCCCAGTCATAAGCAGGTGGTGCGCATGCGCGGTGTTGCCCCCTGCATGGCACGCATGTGTGGCGGCACCCCATGTGCCACCCCTGCACGGTGCGCATGCGCGGTGCCAGCGCCCCATGCGCCGGCTGACAAAAAATGGTGGTGACATGGTTCCGAAAGAAAGCAGATTTTCAAAGAATTTTGAGGCTTTTTCCTCTAAAAGAATCTTTTATTATTCTGCATAGCTTCGGCACTAACAAAGTTAAGCCAGAAACTGAATCCTCCCTCCCCCAAGCATCTGTAACAAAGCATAACTCACTCCTTCATTTTACAGTCATCAATCACATTCTCCAATTAATGTGAACCGTGAGGTGCCCCTCCCGTTGCAGCTGAGCTGACCTTGGCCACACTGTGCCCAGACATTGTTATGGTTAACTTGCATACTTTCCCACCCCTTAACCTACTGCTATCTGTCTTAACTCTAGAAATGCTACTCGGCTAAATAAAACAGGTTTGCTTCTTCATATATGGCAAGCAAGAACATACGATGTTAGCAGTCTTGACAGGTGGATCGCGTTGTTTGGCGACCCCCATGAAATGGTCGTTTGACCCCAAATGGGGTCGCGACCCACAGGTTGAGAACCGCTGATGTATATAATGTCTTCTTATATCTTCATATAAGCACTCTTTGTGTTGGTTTTAAACTGTTAAAAAAAGGTGACAAAAGATCTGACAACAACTTATCCATCATATAGATCTAGAAATTTCTTTATTTAAACTTCATATGAAAATGGGAAAAGATGGCATTTGATTTGATAGGCTAGTATTTGGACATGGAAGACAAGCAACTGAATCTGTTTCTCATTTCCGAGGCCCAGATGCAGTCTGAAATGGGAAGGGGGTAGAAAAAACTTCCCCAACTTAGAAGCTGATAATAGCAGCAGCACCAAACAGAACAGGACATACACCGAGAGAAAAAAATACCTTTATTCTGCAGAATATATGAAGCTTGTTGTGTTAACTGATACCAAAATGGGCCAGTTTCCCAATTTCAAATACCAAAATACTATTTAAAAAAAATTAGGACAAATTAGCACATTTTCTATATCTTCCTAATTTTATTTCTTTCTTTTACAAACATTGCAGATAGCCTTTAGCACTGAATTCTTGAAAGCAAGTGAGAGCTATTTTTCACTATTGCTGAAATATTAAGCTTGCACCTTCCCTTTCTTGTTGCAGGGGAAATGACCACTCAAATGGATTTTTGAGAGGTTATTGTATACAAATGTATAGGGGATGTGTGACTCACACACATTTTCTTGCCATTTCATCTTGGGAGATTTAGCTCTAGACTCAGTAGCTACATACAGACATAGTAGAGGACTTGAAATCTCCACTATTTAGTAGCCTAATTGTGAGATGGCGGCTATATAAATGTGAAAAATAAAACAAACAGAATTCAGAGGAGTTTCTGAGTGCTTTTAATGTCTCAATCTCTTACTAGTATATAAATTTACTTTGTGTCATGTTTATCGTATGCTGATGTAAAATAGCATTCCCACCAACACTGACATGCAAGCTACTATATATAAACAAAGAGTAAACCCTGCTCCCTTCTAGCACTAAAGATGTTACCTAGTCACGTAACAAAATGTCTGCTAGCAAATAACTAAGCTCAGAGAACACCAAGGAGTCCAGAGTTATCTCTTTCTTGTACTTTCTGAAAGGGGACAATCAGATTGAATCTCAAATGATTTCAAACAACCTTACATAGCATAGTGGTTAAGGTGTGTGAAACTAAGCTGCAGTTGCCATAACCTAAATATGAAGCAGGCATGTAAGCAGTGATGAGTCAAAGCCAGGAATCTTATCCAAAAGATTCATTTATTCCTTTATTCTTTCTGGAGTTCAAAGTCAGGAAAGAAGGGAGGGAGGGAGGGAGGGAGGGAGGGAAGAAAGTTTGGTTCTTGGATAGAACAGCTTAGTAAGTACCATGCAAATAAAATGCCTATTCCTGAGGTAAATTGGATGGGGGGGGGGAGAAGACTCAAGGAGTAAATGGGCTTCAGATCTCTTTCAACCCAAAGGTTCTTGCTTTCTCATTAGCTGGGATTGAGGAATCTTGTCCAAAAGATTCCTTGCGGGTGGTAGATAAGAAGAAAAGACGTTGTTAAGAAACAAAGGAAAAATGTCTCCTAAACCAGACAAAGGAAGCTGGATCTGAGCTCATAGAAAACCCTCAATCCCAGCTAATGAGAAAGGAAGAACCTTTGGGTTGAAAGAGATCTGAAGCCCATTTACTCCTTGAGTCTTTTTTTGGATCCATTTTACCTCAGGAATAGACATTTTATTTGTGTGATACTTACTAAGCTGTTGTGTCCAAGAACCTTCCTTCCTTCCTTCTCTCCCTCCCTCCCTTCCTTCCTGACTTTGAACTCCAGAAAAAATAAAAACTAGCATTATTCTTATTTTATTTAATGGACAGATAATCCATGAGATTTTTCAATAGAACCCCATTCCTGTGCCCATTCTGAGGATATTATTATGCTGGACTAAATCCTTTCCCTAAAGGAGCTAACGGTGAGGAACTTGATTTACAAAATAAGCAATGGTTTTAAAAATCTAAAAATATGTTCTTAGAGAAATATAAGGCAGAGGCTGTGTGAGAAATGCTAACAGTGAGAATAAATGGATTATAATTCCTGGCAAGAAAATTGGTATTTTTCTCCTACATCATCCACATTTTTAGCAGCATACTTAAAAAAAAATTGCCTGAAATGCAGTAGTTATCATGAGAATTTAATTTGCATAGCCTAGATTTAAAACCATTACTGCAAAAGAGGAGAGAAAAATATTTCCAACAATATCCAGGAACACAGGATAGAACAGCTTCTGCATTTTATTTTCATTATTAGAACAGCAACACTATCTTCCGGAGCAAAACTTACCAGTGTTATAAAATTGCAAGGTGGGAAGGCAAGTCTTAGGATATTTGGAAGGAAATGATACAAATACAGGTTTATGCACAGATAGGCTTTTTTTGGTAAGGAGATCACAAGTGTGAGGAAGGAAGGAAGGAAGGAAGGAAGGAAGGAAGGAAGGAAGGAAGGAAGGAAGGAAGGAAGGAAGGAAGGAAGGAAGGAAGGAAGGAAGGAAAGATACAGTATGTGTGTAGACAAAATATAAACAGTTAATCATGGATCCTCTAATAATAGCTGAATTTGTATAAAGCTTGCAACACTTGCAACCCAGTCAAAATATCATTTATTCAGGTCTTGCTTTGGAGAGTATATGGAACAGATTATAATTTGTTTAAACAGTAATTAGATAGTCCTCTACTTATTATCAGATTATATTCCAAGAGGCTGATCATGAGTCCATTTGATTGTAAATCCAACCAAGTATAAAAAATATGCACAGTACAGTTCTTACCTTGTGTAAATTATATATGTCTAATCCTAGACATACTATAATTCACAGTCACTACACAAAGGGAAACATTGTGAAGTAAACATAATGAGATCAGGAAACAGACAGGACTGGGTAATGTCCAAAATGGTGTAAATCAGCCTCCCAATGTGTGACAGTGCTGCCAAGTATACATTTGCAGTATGCGATAAACTAACCTTTCGCAGACTTCTGGGACCTTCTAGATTGGAGTTGTGGACAGGTTTGTTGGTACCGGCAGAAGTTTGTAACTCAAAAGTTTATAAGTAGAGGACTACCTATGGGGCCTGAGAAATTAAAGAAGGTATATCATAGCACCTAATGGATTACTTTGGCACATGATATTGTGACACTCAGGTTCATATACTCAGAGGAATTTTGAATATGGCTTTGGAGGTTTTCTCATGAATTATCTTGTGTAAACCTTCACAGTGTGCGATTGAAATACCTACAGTACTGCTGGCACTGCCATTTCCTTTCTCTCACATGCGTGCAAGGATCCACCTCCAACTATCCCTGTGCAGAGCTTGGGATGCTAGAGAAAAAAGTTCTGAGAAAGGAAAGACATATGGCTGAATTATATGAGTGTTTTTGCAGCAAAGGAGCCCTAACCTCTGTAGTGAATTCAGCATCTTAATGTGTTCAATCCATTCACTGACAGTTGAGAAAAGGAATAACGGATGCACTCCTATACAAGCCAGATGACTACAGATGACCCATATAAAAATTATGTGGGCAGCAAAGCAATAATAATAATAATAATAATAATAATAATAATAATAATAATAATAATAATAAACTACCATAAAATGTACAAACTTGATGGAAATCATATTGCAAACAGATCTTCCCTTATAAAGGGAGTGTTTGTTGCTTTATAAGTGAAGAGAGGGTTTGATTCTCCACTATTTACTTTTCATTTTCCCCTCTGTCCTTAGGTTCAACTAATCCACTATAACCATGAGTTATATACAAATGTCACAGAAGCTGCAAAAAGTCCCAATGGCTTGGTGGTAGTTTCTATATTTATGAAAGTAAGTATAGTAAAATTTCATAAATGTTTAATTACATTCTGCTGGGTGATTTTAAGAAATTAAGAGCATTGGTGCATAAGTCCAGTAACTCTAACTGCAGTCATTTTCTACCTGGTACTCCAAATGCGTTGATATTACAACTTCCAAAATCCCCATCCAGCAAAGGAATTGTAATTCTGAGGACTATTTACAGGATGGGGAAGACAACTTTGAAGACTGTCTGCGTTTAAAAACTGCCAGTTCTTTGGGGATAACACAGTCATACTTTAGGGTGCAAAGCAATTATACCACTTTGGAGAGAGACACAAACATTATACAAATCCATTTCCATCTTCCTGCAAATAATACTAATATTTTATATTACTGTAATTGTGTTATTAATAACAAAACTCTTCAGCAGATGCTCAGAAAACATCGCAGTTCTTTTTAGAGTCTTTTTTCTTACCCCATTCTCATGCTTTTGCATTCCCTCCCTCCATAAATACTTCTAGAATATATTGTACCTAGTTTGTTTTTTGCACAAAGGAGAGGGATATTACTTCCCAGTGAACTAACCAATGGCCACTGTACTAAATGATTTACATACATTGAGGTAAAGGCAGACATAATATTTGGAAACCATTTCTTTATGCATGTTCCTTTCAGTATCCTTGGATGAGCTCTGAAAAACAAGATTTGTAGATTTGGAATACTGTTCACTTGGCACTAGAGAAATAATCTGGGATAGTCAGAACAGTCAGAGACATGAAGGAAGAAGCGGAAGCAGAACTTCAGTCTGAAAAATTGATGGAGTCCAATATTAGCAGTCCTCAGACAACAGTAGTGGCCAGAATTGTGGAAACCTTTTGTACAGTAGAAATGCCATCTTTGATTAAGTTTCCACCAATTTTTCTTCTAATATTTTTATAACTGTAGCTTTGTTCACTTAATACTATTTTACATCGCTTTCTGGGCAACCAGTCAACTCTTTGCACCATTACTTTAATTTTATTACGTTTTACAAGCTCACTAAATGAAAGAATACAAAAAACCCCAACCAACTTGATAGCGATCACATAACACTCCTCTCAGCTTCAATACATGACATCAATAACTGAATCCTACTATGATCTGATTGGTCATTGCCAAAACAAGATGACACCTGATTGGCTCTCTAAACACTCATGCTCATTGGCTACAATCAGATGAAGGAAAGCTACCTGATATCAACCTAAGTAAGTTGTGCTTCCTTTTTCTGGTTATTTGGCTATAACTTTTCATAGAATACAGTACAGATAATTGAACAAACTATGTTGCATTGCATTCTTGATTAAATTATCTTTCCATTGATATATAATTTTATGTTACCACTCTAAAAAAAAGTGGTGTTATTAGCCATGAAACCTCAAAAATACACTTTTCCCAAAAGGTTTCCACAATTTTGGCCACTACTGTAGGTTGCCCAGCATATTAGAGGGCTATCTCACATTTTCTAAATCAGTGTCATGCAGGTGGCAATATGTCACCTGTTATATTATTTAATAAGGGTGCATCTCAGAACAATCTCCTTCAAGGAGGCCTGTCACTCCACCCCAATGAAGAAGAGTTGGGACTAATCTGTATTATCAACAGTTGCTTCTGTACACATGTGGTAGACACGCAGAGGCCACCATTGCTGGGTCAAATGACACGGCTTCTCCACTCCAGTCCAGGAGATGCTTCAAATGGGCTTTTTGTGCAAATTTCCATTCAAGTGTCATGCCCTTCAAAAATTTGTACAACCCTATTCTTTTTGTAGCAGACATGAACCTGGACAACTTGTTGCATGCAAAGAGTTTAATCCTTTCTCTCCAACTGCATTTTTCACTAACTGGCCATTTTGCTTTTGGTGTGGGATCTTAGAATGGTACTGCTAAAACCAGACAAAGGAGAGACACGAGGAGAGGTACATTTCAAAAGTGACAGATAGAGGAAAATCTAGGCTGATTCTCCACTGAGCTGCTACCATTTTTCTCTATTAGAGGCAGTTAAAATTTCAAAACTAATACAGTAATGGAACTAAAAGATAGTTCGGCTTTCAGATCAGTTAGCTGTATTTTTTAAAAATATATATATAACTAGGGAGAGAATAGAAGGATAAACAGGCCTTTGACTTCCCAAAATGACAGACATGGTAGGAAGAAGTTAGTGTATTTGGCTGAAGATAGTTGTTGCATTTTGTATAATCATAAATCCTCATTGCACAGGATGATCACTGTTTGCTATAACCACTGAACCACATTCCTTATTTAAGGTTGGGGATAGCAAGGGTGGCATACATGTCTCCATGCTCCCACCTTGATTACAATTTTAACTGATTGTATGGGGCTAAGATGCAGAACGCAATCTTTTTTTCAACCAGTAATTGAAAGGATCATGTACCACCATGTTTCCCCAAATATACGACCCAATCAGAAAATAAGCCCTAGCATGATTTTTCAGGATGCTCGTAATATAAGCCCTACCCCCAAAATAAGCCCGTTAAGATTGCCAGCCAGATGGACATATTTAGTACTGTATTTCCCTGAAAAATAAGACCTAACCAGAAAATAAGCCCTAATGCATCTTTTGGAGCAAAAAGTAATATAAGGCCCAGTCTTATTTTCAGGGAAACACAGGTATATATCCAAGGGATGATCTGATATGCTCAGACTAGGCAGAACACAAAAAAAAACAAATCTGTATTTGCCCTTTTTCTTGAATATCTCAGGAGGATGTTTCTTTGATTTACAAAAACTTTGTATCACAATAATTAAGTGCCCCTGGTTTACAAGAGAAATTAGTCCAATAAGAAAGGTCTCTTCTTTTCATACTGTAGAATGCCTGAGAGTTTATTCCAAATCCTCCCCCTGTATCCTGCTCTTCAGATAATAAAAATAAAGAGGGGGGGAAAAGGATAGGAAAAAAGACAATGTAAGTGGGAATTGCATTCTGAAGACTTCCTTGGTGCATTTTTGTTCTGAATTATTCGCAGACTACATCTTGTATTTTGTTGTCATGTAGTCTAACTCCAAGAGTCAACCTGACAAGTGCAAACTAATTAATTTGTGGTCAGATTCCACTCTGTAACCTTCACACTGTTTTGCCTTGAGCCATCCCTGCCATGTATAAATGTAACCAAGTTCTAAATCAGGGGTGTCAAACTCAATTTCATTGAGGGCTGCATCAGCATTGTGGTTGCTCTCGGGGGGCGGGTATGTGTGGCCAGGGTGGGTGCAGCCTACTGGGTGAGCGTGGATGGAGTGGGCGTGGCCTATTGGGTGGGCATGGCCAGCTCTACATCATTCGCGTCAAGGGTGCCTGTGGGGGCCTGGGCAGGAGTGGGGCAGATCTGAATGCGTTTCAGCATAGATGGCCACCACAAAATTGTACATTGGCTCCCGGCCAGTCTGGGCCAGGGCCAAGGCAGCGGGGGCCATTCCTTCACTGTTTCCAGGATGGCTTCACGGGCCACATGAAACCACTTCACAGGCCACATCCAAGCCCCGGGCTTTGTGTTTGACATGTCTGTTCTAAATGAAGGCGAAGAGCAGAGGACGAAGTATTTCAAACTTTTGCAGAAGAAACCACAAAAAAGCATATTCCCATCAGATTCATACCTAAGCTCAAAGCAAAACGGACATGGGCTTAATTACCTTTCTTGAGTAGTATTTCAAGGCCATGTTGATCTTTCCTACATATTGGATGTGGAAGAATTTGCTGCTCTTGACTGGAGTGCAGGTTCATGCCCAGACCTCCTTCTCCTTACTGAATGCTCGAGCTACAAATGGTTTTGCATCCCATTATAACTGCAGCATAGATGAGAATGCAGCATGCTGTGATTTGAGGTAGAAAATGTTACCTCAAGCGGTGGTGATCACCAGAGCAGACCAGGTTTTGCTCTGGATTTTTGCCTAAATGAGAACCTTTTAATGACTCTATACTAGCCTACTCTTTCTCTTTTCCCCACAAAATTGAAGCCAAGAGCCATGGTGGTTCACAATCAGTCTTGCCTAAATGGATTGAAAGGAATTTTTTTTATCTCCTGCATAACCATGTCAGATTATGCCTGTTTTCCAACATTATTAGGTTTCCAATTTAAAAACAAAAACTAGGATGGCAAGAAGCTGATGCAACTCACGCTCAGAGCATTCAGATACAGCCCCCTTTCCTTTCTGTTTTCCATTAGACTGCACTAATAGAAAACTGAACCGCCATTACTCATTTCATCTGACTGCAGTACATCCACATGTTTACTAATTCTGTACTTGTCCCTTGATTCTCTTGCTCTTACCCCCACCCCCCTCCTGATAAATAGATACTTTCCAAAAAAATAAAAGGTTTGTGATTATTACTTTTGTTTTGACAATGAATTCTTTCCATCGCAGGTATCTGAATCATCAAATCCATTTTTAAATCGTATGCTTAACAGAGACACCATAACAAGAATAACGTATAAAAGTAAGTTTCTTTTTGACTCACGTCAGTGGATAATGGGTCAATCTTTCAATATGTACATCTCAGATTGAGATGAATTTCAAAAGCAAAAGTTGATAAAAGCAACTCAAAATTGCTCTATGTGCTTTATTCTATGAGGCAATTTATCACGAGTTTTTAACAAGAAAAATTCAAGCACTTCCAATTGTTTGGTGCTGGTGCAGTGGAATTAATGAAACGCATATTTTTCTTAAATATCTGAATATTTATAAGGATTTTCCGTCAAAGCATTTGGAAGCAGTAATAGTTAAAACATGATTAAAGCATACTAAAATATGCCATAATGAAAAAAATAATCACTGAGGTATTTTTAAAAATCTCTAAGATACATAAAGCACAAGTAATCCATTTACTCAGTTCTTATTTGGGCTATAACTTGTGGCAAACTCATAACTGCTCTGAGTGTTTTCAACCATTCTGTATTACTATATATAGTTTGTGTAAACTGAGATGCCAAATGCAACCACTGACATTTCCTGAGATGTAAATGTCACTATTATCCTTTGTAAGTCAGGACCATGGACCCCTGCATTCCATGTTCCATTAGCTGCATTAATTCCTTCTTCTACAGGGGTTTGCTATAGTTCACCGTAATATCCAAATTGGCAATTTATGGCTGTTGTTGTTCCTTATGCCATTATTTCAAATCAAGTTTGTAGGAAGCTGGAATTGAGCCCATTCCTTCTTCAGCCATTGTCTGTAGTTTAGCTTATCCTTAATTCAAGTTGGACACTATTGACCATGATATGGGGGGGTAACCTATTTTGCTTCAGGCTGTGATGCTGGGGCTTATCTTATTGAGCTTACCCAGAAGGGCAAAAAGAGTTGTATCTTTATATAATATACAACTGACAGATTACCTGCTAGCTGATGCTGTGGAGTTTAATGTCAGGATTTAATAAAAGCATGTAAAGTCAGTCCATGGTTAAATAGTACAAATCTAATCATTATGAACAAGGGATTTATTCTTTTCCCGGTAAAAGAAATAGATGGTAGTTAGAAGCAAAATAAGAAAAAAAGGTATGCCATCGAAAAAGAGAAACAGCAGGGGTTTAAATCAAGCATGGGCTCCCACATTCTGTTTAAGAGCTCCCCTAAATTAAATTGTTGAAATTTAGTGACCAAATCATAGTATTTTTGTGAAAGGGAAATAGTACAGATTACCAGAAAGAAAAATATTGTCATCGTCCCTGGAAACGTTTATTACACAAAAAAGCTTATCAAGGGAGGCAGGGAAGTTACCAAGCTCACTAGCAGAACCTATTTTTAAAGAAGTTAATTGAGGGAAAAGTGAAATTGGAGCTTGCTTTCCTAATAGGAGGGGGGGAGCAAAGCAGCAGGTGAATCCACCAATCTGGACAGAACACCAGACTATCTTCATGATCAAGAAGGGAAGGAGTTGAAATGTGGAAATGGATTTTTTAAACCAGCTTTGGTTTATGAACAGGAGTCAAATAGCAAAAGACCATGGTACAGAAAAGCTCTTAGGATCACTTTTCTGTGCATCAGAGGCATATAGAAGAAATATAAGTCTCATTTTCCATCTAACTTAAAAGAATGTATAAAATGCATAAATGTATAAAACTACAAAGGATAGTGGCCATCAACTTAATGACTGTGTGATTTGCTTAATGATCGACACACCCAGTCACATGACCACAATGCCTTGGAGTTCTGGTTCCAATTGTGGCCGTAAGCTGAGGACTACCTGTGTAAGCATTTTCAAGGCAAAAAAAGCAATGCAAAAAGAGTTGTGGAAAATAATTCTGCAGCTGTCATGGATGATAGATTATAGCTTCATTGCAGGGGAAATTTAGTTTTGCTTCATGTATCAAGAGGAATTCTGTATTGCTCTTAAGCAGCTGTCTTTCAAAAACTCATATTTAGGAACCTCATTTATACAGCTATTGCTTAGCTTCAGCTCTGAGAAAATCAACAACTATAATTTACTTACTTGCCTTTAGAATAAATCGGGTGATACAATAAGAGTTGTACATTAATTGAAGAACAGTTCTAAAAGCATCACATTCACAAGAGTATGAATCAGAAAATTCTAAAAGTCAGACACCCTTGTGGAATTTCAACATGCATTTTTAAATTGAGCTTTCATTGTTTTAATAAATATTCCAATTCAGACAATCCCCTGGACACATACAGACATGCACAAAGGTATTCTCAATTATATGAAGGTATTGAAATGACTATAAGTCATTAGAATTCCATCAACAGTTTTAAAGAATGTTTAGTTTTATATTTGACTTTTTAAAACTCAAAAATTGAGAGACTAATTATTATCTTGTTTAAGCACCTGAGTTGTGTTTTTAGAAAAACCCCAAACCCAAGTTTTATTCTGCATGTGTCTTTAATTTACAGTCTTTAGTTTACAGCCTTGATAGAAATATGAATGCATATTCCAGTTTCAGTAAATTCAATGGTTCTAATTACTGTATAATAGAATTTCTTGTATTTCCATAGATCTTTTAACCTTATGAATCAAAGTTTATCATTCTGGGGAGGAATCTCACACAGAACTCCAGATATTTTAGCTTAAAGTAAAAAAAGTTTAATTGGATATGCATTGATGTGAACTAAATTAAAACATCATTTTAGGCATGTAAATTGATCTTATCTGTACCTTCTGTATTAATGTTCGATTCATCAACTTTTAGGCTCAAAATTAGTAGCTCAAATATGTTTTAAACCTTGTACTTCAAAAACAAATGTTCAGAAATGGACATTTGGAGATAAAGCACATTTAAAATATTTACTAAGAGAGGTATACAATTTTCATGCAGAACCTTAGAAATATTATATAATGATGTGGAACTTGGATAGAATTTATTTCTTACCAGAAGTACTGGATTTGTCCAAACACACGTGTCTCCAGTTTTTAAAATCTTTATCTTGATAATGGAATAAGCTGAATTGTGCCATTGTACCATTATATATGCAAGACTGTGCATAGCAATGGCAAGAGAAGATACATGAGAAATATTATAGGTGGCAACTTTATGACTTATTTAAAAATATACAATAGATAAATATGAATCTCATCCTTTCTGAACTTCCATGCAATTCTTTCCTGTCCTGTTCCACTAAAGTCTACAGGAAGCTATATAAAACCAATAAATTATGTATATTACAAATGCTCACAAACTCAGAAATTCTCCTAAGGCAGAAGTGGTTCAAATCAACAGTGCAATCTGCCATTGGGAATTGTGCTTGGAGCCCAGCACTGTTACATTTACTGTATAAGGAAGATGCATTGTGTACTGTAGGACACATTGAGAAGATATATTCATGGTACTAAGTGACTTGCAGTAAGTTATTAACTAGAGATGCAATGAAGAAGGATGACAAAGGCACTCCCTGGAGTCCTGATAACAGCTGGCTATCAAGGATGTTTTTGTCTGTACATGGACCTGTCTAATTAAACAAATGTAAACTGCTCTGTGGTCCTTGCACAACTTGCTACAGTTCTGAGGCCTTGGTCCTGAGACCAAATTCCTGAAAGCTCTCTGAAGCTGTTATCTTGCTGCCAGATGTTTCTGTCCATTAGCTCTGCAAGGCAATCCAAGCCAGAAATACCATCAGGAATCATCATCATCATTGGGCAGCAAGTGACTTTTCGCACAATGGGCAGCAAGTGACTTCTAGCAGTTTCAGTCATTTGCAGCATCTTTGGCATCATTCCAAGGTACATTAATAATCTTAAAATCTTCCTTAAGTGTTTGGCGCCAGGATTTCTGAGGCCAGCATCATTTCCTCTTCCCTTCTGGAGGTATCCAGGAAGTAGAGCAATTTTTGGATGCTGGTCTTTAGGCATACATAAGATATGGCCAACAAGCCATATGACAGTCAGAAATATTAGCTGTATATTACAAGGTAATATGATTAGTGGTCATTACCAAATAGTAATGACTACTGACTACAGCAAGGGTACCCAAGCTTGGCAACTTTAACACCTATGGATTTCAATTCCCCAAACTTGCAAGACTGAAAGTATTTCAGAAGAGTCCCTTCTGAAAAATGTGCCACACCTTCCCACCTTCTATGGGCTGAGACATCTCTTACATGCTGGTTGTCCAGTCTGCAGGTCTCCCTCCAGTTCCCCAGGTTATTCCTGCATATCATTATAGAAACTGATGTATCCTTATACATATCTTGCCAATTTCAAATCAGACCAACTTCTTTTTCTGAAGGGACCACCATTTGTATTCTTAGGGAGATGTGCATGTTTTGATTTAGTTAGTTTACTTGCCACCAAGCTGTCTCAACGGTTGGTTAATTCCAACAGGGGATTTCATTTGTCCATCATCACTGTCACTACAATTCGGAAGAGTAGATTTCCTTAAAAAAAAATCAGTAAGTTTATTTATTTTTCTATTAGATTTATACTCCACATTTGATGCCAGGAATTCAAGGCAGCTTAAGTAAGATCGTTTTTTTATGTAGATAGCATTGACAGAGAGAGATTATAACCCATGGGGTTTCTGTAGCTGAGGAGGGACTTGAGCCTAGATTTTTTCAGCCCTAATCTAACACATTAACCATTGCAATGCATATTACTAATGATTAATAATGCTTCTACAGTACATGACTATATCATTGTGCGAAAAGACTGGAATCCTTTGCTACTTTGTTGACAGGGAACAGTAAGTTACAAGCCTCTGCATAATTCATCATGATTTAATTAAACAGGAGAGCAACTCACTCATCTAGTTGCTGCTCTGTAGCAGGTTTCTATTTTAAGCTCTGCATCTTTCTCTGCAAGGCAAAACTCTTCCTCTACTATTTTCTCATTTTAATTTTGGTCTTACAATCCTCCCTTGTGTTCTTTTTGCTCATGATTCCCATCCACATGCTAATGCCTTTACTTAGACACTAAAACGGAGTGCATGAAAGTAAATGATGTAAAACTCAGTAAAGGAAAAAATCCACGGTGAACCACAACCGAAAAACCT